ATTTTTACCCCTTTTTCCCCAAATTAATTTCAATTAAATCCAAAATAATATTTTTTACCTAATTTTATCATTATTATTATTTTTATTTTCCTTAAATTAAATTAAATTAAATAAAAATCTAAAAAATTCAAATAAATAAAAAATAAGAATAATAAGATAAAATAAGAAAAAAAAAAAACACTTTGGTGTTACAAGAGACGCCGCCACCCGCTGTCACGCCAGAGTTACTTCCGACCGCCCAAAGAGATATAAAAAAATTTTTTTTCTCGGAATTCAATTTTAAACACCCTCATGGTCAAATTGGACCAAAAGGACCAGCTAATTGGCCAAAAACTGCGGGCAAAGCTCAGTGATGTTGCCGCGAAAAATTTCACAAAACGCCTCCGATAAGGCCCTTCCTGATTCCCGTTCGACGTAATTTTTCCACCATTGTGATCAACGTTTCTTTCTCTATAGGTTGACTAGAGCAAAACACCTAATCGCAACGTGACCCAAAGGAGTCATCGCACCGGAGAGCCCTGCCGTCGGTGAGTTTTGATTTTTTATATTTTTTCAGCCAACTGAGATCGCTTAACATTTTTTCTCGCAAGGATTGATGCAAAATCGACCAAAGACAGCCGAAAATGGCCAAAAACAGCTGACCTGAGGCGAACTACCATCGCCCGCCAGAGTGCGGCGGAGCCACCATGCTGGAATTCTGGAATTGCCCAAAATTGGGTCCTGAGACTGATTTTAGGTTTTTTTTTGGACATTTGTAGGTATTTATAGAGCGTTTTAATTTTCGAAAAAAAAAAATTCAGAAAATTTGGGGACCGCTAGTAGGAACAGTCAACAGTTCACCCTTTCGAATATCTCACCATATTCTCTGTTGTGAAATTGAAGTCTAAATAAATAATAATATGGTATTTTGTGTAATTTAAAAAATATACATAATTAATTACGGATTACTAATGGAGACAGAACTGAAAATTATCTATTGTTGATTCTTGAATTATTTTACAATTAATTGCATTATAGTATTTCATTGATCGAATTTATAATTTTGAATGTATATTTTGTTTGATTTATGTGATTACCATTAATTTGGAAAATGGAGACTGAAGAAAAACAGAAAATTGTGTGATTAAGTGAGTTGATGAAACGGCAGCCTTACTGGATATTCTAGGAGATGGTGGACGGACTGTGTACAATAGAGAACCCTACTGTGAACGTTGTCTCATACCAAACAGAGTATGGGGACGGCTCGTTTCACTTTCATACCGGACGGGGTATGGAGACGGCCTGTTAATTGAGAATGTTAAAAGAAATGGTTCACGCGTAGCGGAGACATCCTTATGAACCCTTATGGATACCAGCAGGCTGGTAAAAATGGATAGTAGTTGTTTTGGTTATTTGAATTTGAAAGTATAAAATGTATTATGCTGCCGATTACATGTGAAATCATGATATGTATGATATTATTGTTTCTATAGATTATTTTTTTAAATTTTGCCAAGATAAGTGGACAGTAAATGATTTTATTGTTGATAAATGAATTTGTTTAATTAAGATCTTCATTAGTTGTTTTAATTTTCTACCAACCTTCATTTATGTGTCGTTAAGTGACATGATATTCTTACTGAGATAGTGTACCTTATTTCTTATTTGATCATTTCATATCAAGAGGAACAGAATCCAGAGGCTGATCCATAAGAGAATTGCGAATAAGATACTAATTTTATTTAATTTTTGTTTATTTTTTTATTTTTTTTTGTATTTTTTCTAAAAATATAATTCTTCTAACACTATTTGACAATTTAATTTATTGTGTAAAAAATATAAAATTTAACTATTTATTCTGTTTTGGCAGTTAATTCATAAATTTCTTTTGAAAATTTGAGGTTCGCTGCATCTATAACCCAATTGATCAGTTTTCCTACACATATATATATATATATATACACACACACACACACACACAGATTCCTTTTTATTAACAAGTTTAATATATTTAAAACTTCTCCAACCAATAAAATTCCAAGTAAGCAAAGACCTCGTGGAACTCCTGTTCGTGTTCAGAAATCTCATTATTCTGTGGTGGTGTTCCCTACCTTTCCCTTGTACTCTCCGTAACGGCATTTGTCGCGCTCAATTCAACTTTCTATTTCCATTTTAAACTTAAAAGTCTCCTTGATCTTTCCCTTCTTACAACGCCCGTCTAGCTGACGGAGCCTTCAAAGCCCAAACCCATATTTCTCTCTCTTCCACGTGTCAACACGTGATTCATTGCCACCGCTAAGAAGTCGTTGTCCACGTCGGTTCCCGCTTGAATCGCCCCATTTCTCCTCTCTGTAACGCCTAACTCATAAATGTCGCAGTAGCTTCGCCTAATCCTTTTCTCGCTCAATTTATCTCCCTGGTACTCTCGTCGTCCATAAAACCCAAAGTTCACGATTCAGAAGAAGCACAGCCACCGCCGGACCGGCCGTCTCTTTCCCTATGTCCTCCATCGACCGGAAATGCCGACGGAGTCCGCGGGCGCCTCTTCTCCCAGAGAAATTTGAAAACACGGAGGCGCGAGAGTCTGGATTTAACGGTGCGTCGTTCTCAGGCGCGGTGTTTAACCTATCGACGACGATTGTTGGGGCGGGGATCATGGCCCTTCCGGCGGCCGTGAAGCAGCTGGGGCTTATCCCGGGACTGGCGATGATTGCGTTGGTATCGGTGCTTACTGAATCGTCGATCGACCTGATCCTGCGTTTCACTCGCGCTTCCAAGCACGCATCATACGCCGGCGCTGTTTCGGACTCGGTGGGTGGAGCCGGGAGGAACCTCCTTCAGGTCTGTATTGTCATCAACAATTTGGGGATGCTCATCGTGTATATGATCATCATCGGTACCATCACTCTCTCGCTAATCTCATTTATTCGAATTTTTAGAGACTTCGTGTTTGACTTTCTTTGTTGAGACAGCGTGTGGGTTAAGTTCGGGTACGCTTACGTGGCTGTGGGTTTTCTGCCATTTGATTGTGATCAGACGGTTGGTGATGAAAAGTTACTGACTTGGCAAATTCTCCTCTATTGCGTGGGCCAGGTGATGTGTTGTCAGGAACATGGATGGACGGTGTCCACCATTCGGGTGTGATGGAGGAGTGGTTTGGTCAACGCTGGTGGACCACTCGCTCCTCCCTGCTCTTGCTCACCACGCTCTTCGTCTTCCTTCCTTTGATTTCATTCAAGCGAGTCGGTAAGTCCTTAATTTTTCTTTTTCCCTTCCAAGATTGTTTTAGTTACTTGATCATGGAAGCCGTGAAACTGGGAACTTGTTGACGAATGAATGATCAAAGTGTCTTATCATGTTAAGGAATTGTTTGAAAAAGTTTCGAGCTATAGAAAGGAAGGACTGGCAGTTCTAAGATAATTAAGCAAAAGAATGACAAGAAGGAAATTCCGATGTAACTTTTAAGCTTAATTACTTGCCTTCTTAAATTGTATTGCTTCTTTTTGCCCTGAAAATCAAATTTTGACCGAAATCATCTCGATAGGCTTTTTGGGATATCGTATGTGACTGCTCTTCCCGTTTATTTTTCACTTCAGCATGAGAATTTCTGAGCAGGATATTGATGTCTGCGTTTTTTGTTGGGTTGGTGATTTTAGATTCACTGAGATATACATCAGCATTATCGGTGGTTCTGGCCCTTGTATTTGTGGTGATAATAGCAGGTGTGGCAATTTCTAAGTTACTGGCTGGAAGCATTGGAATGCCAAGATTGTTTCCTAATCTTGTTGATCAGGCGTCATTTTGGAAGCTGTTCACAACAGTTCCTGTCCTAGTCACTGCCTATATATGCCACCATAATAGTAAGTTATGACAAATTCTTTTCAGTTTACATGACAACCAGCAAAGCACAAAGGAGAGTTACTCAATATCACCTTTCTTCATACGACATTCTTAATTGCTAACTGTTATTAATTCATTAACAATTTTTAGGAGTTTTTAAACTAGACAAACTTTGGATTCTCAGTTGCTTCTCATCATTTAGGCTAGCTCTGCTTTCAAATACTTATTTCATAGAACCAGAGTAGGATGTGAGTTAGAAGGTGAATAGTGTTTTAATTGCACTTTAATTGAAGTTAGGTAAGTTTGTGACTCTTATCTTTAGTGGAATTCAATATATTGTAGTAGGAGTTGTTAAAATGTGAATCAATTCCTTATGATTAAAGATAGCAACTGAACCAAACGGGCCATTAATCAAAATCTGATATACCTTTTTTTGGGCTTGAAGGAGACCCAGTTTACTTAATACGAATGCAATATGACATTTTTATACTTGATTTGGGATGTATTCTTAGAAAACAGAGATTTTCCACTATATCAATTCAACTTTTTATATATACTAGATTGTATTAGTTGCTTAAAGCATTTCATTATCAAAATGATATTTGCAGTTCACCCAATACAAAATGAGCTGAAGGATCCTTCTCAGATGAAGTCTATAGTTGGGGCATCCCTCACATTATGCTCAACTGTCTACATTGCTACGAGCTTCTTTGGAGTGCTCCTATTTGGAGAACACACTCTGGATGATGTACTTGCCAACTTTGATGGTGATCTTGGAATTCCATATAGTTCAGTGCTAGATGATGTTGTTAGAGTGAGCTATGGCATCCACCTTATGCTTGTTTTTCCAATTGTTTTTTACTCACTTCGACTCAATGTAGATGGTCTTCTCTTTCCCTATGCCATTCCAATTTCATTTGACAACCGAAGATTCATGTCAGTAACTGCAGCTCTCATGTGTTTTATCTTTGCTGGAGCCACGTTTGTGCCTAGTATCTGGGATGCCTTCCAGTTCACTGGTGCCACTGCTGCCATCTCTGTTGGTTACCTCTTTCCTGCAACCCTTGCCCTTAAGTAAGTAGCAATAATCACAGTGCTTTTTGTGATCTTAGATATCTGGCAGTTACCCTGGTAGCTGCCTTCATATTATAATATTAAATGGTTCACGAAGAGAAAGAATAAAAATTTTCCAGCATCTATGTATGATAGGAGATTGCATTTGACAGCAGCATAGCAGATTATGTTGCACTTGATACTAATACATTCGTTTAACTGTTGATAAGAGATCTCTTTACTGAGATCAAAAGTGAGGCATGGTTTAAAGCATGACAGGAGATTTATATGAAGACCTTTACACATTGACTTATGCCAAGTAATACAATACCTAAAGAAAGCTCAGTGAAAAACAGGATTTACATAGCCTTTAAAATCATTTCTTCATGTTTACTTGTTCATTAATGGCAAATACTACTCAAAATCAAAGTACTGAAAATCAATGCTTGTTTCCATTCCTTGCAGAGACATTCATGGAATTGCAACCAAGAATGACAGAATAGTATCATGGGTTATGATCTTTCTCGCTGTAACGTCAAGCACAGTGGCAATCTCTAGTGACATCTATAGCACTCTCGGAACCTGAAAACTCAAAATCAGGAAACTATCTGCTGTTTCTGCAGCATTTCTCTAGTCACACGTACAGCAATTTTTTGAATCTGGAATTGAGAGGGGAAACTGTCTGGTTTTCCTTTGAATTTCCATCAACGAGAAGGAAACAGACTTCCCAAATCTGAGGCAGAGAATCGGACTTCTATTGTACAGTATATTCATCTTGCAGCCAATTGTTGCAAAGACGAGGTCAGTATAGTTACGGCATCCTTTCTTGTAAACTAAAGCAGGTGAATTTTATGCTGAAAATTCCAAGCTTGTCCCAATGCAGTGTGCTCTATTGTCAAAGCATGTTAATGAGCACAGATTTCTTTTCTTGTACTGTGTTATTGGTAACTAGATGTGAAAAATATTTGAGTTAAATCATAAGCGAAAACATGTTAGTTAGCAGAATTTTTATTCGTTCGTGTTATTTTTAATCAAAATGTGACAAAATATTTGACTGAAATCATAACTAGATATGGCCAACTTATCAGCAACCTGTTGTGCTTTTGTTATGAGTTTTTCTTAGACCCATCTTAGCGGGTTAAAACCCTTCCTATATCTCTCTTTCTTTTTCTGATTTGGACCAGAAACTTTGAAATTTATTCAATGTTTGGAAAAGGAAAATGAAATACTTTTTTTCTGGAATTGACTTGGGAATACAAGGGAGGATGAAAATTCAACTCAAGAAGCATAAGAATGAAAACAATACATGCATTCTTTCAATTTTAATCTAAAGTTATTGAAAGTCCTTGTGGAATTCATCTAAAAATATTCACACTGTTTTAGTTAAGATTATTAAAATTAAATCAATCTATAGCTTTAAGCAAAATTAGAACTAGCATTCCTAATTTTATTCAGATTTCTCAGTAATTGTCCGTTTGTATACAATGAAATATGAGGCTGAGCTATCCAAAGGTTGGTTATGATTTGTAGATTTAAATCAACGGTTGAGATTTATTGCACATCCATCCAACTGTAGGAAAGTCAGGAAAAGCATCTTCCCAAATCCTATAATAGAAAAATATGAAAAATATCATATCTAAATTTGGAGAAGCATATGTATTATGATTTAAAATTCAAGTGAAAGTTGATATTCTGATCCGAAAAAAAAAAAGTGAAATTCCTTGTTGAAAATACAGAATTGCTGTATGTATATATATATATATATATATATATATATATATTATTCCAAATCGAACTAATGACTTAAATTTAAAAAAAAAAATGTTTTAACCAAAATTTTAATTTGGTTTTGTGTTTTCTTTTTTTGAAAAAAAAAAAAATTCTTCTTCTGCATACTCCTACTCAAAACTGCCGACAAGCATCACGTGCATTGTGAATTATTTTTGTGGAACTACTTCTTTT